AGGCAGAAGAACCTGGGGGTCAACAGAGCCTTGCTGAACCTCTTCAAGCCTATGTACACTTTTGTTTCTCCTTTATCCCATCGCCCAAAGCAAGGCACAGTGGCAAACCCAATGCCAGGGGACTGGAAAGAACAGTTTAACCATATGAAGGTGGAAGACCTGGAAAATGGAGCCAGTGGACCCCTGGTTTGGAGACCACACAACCTATACTAATTTTTCTAGTGTACACCTTAGTGAGAGGAAAGGCCTTCTGCTCTGGGACTTGGCCCTAGTTCTCCATGAGGTCAGCATCCCTGACAAGGCAAAAATTATATCTCCTTCCTCCCAGTCAGCCCTGCTCTCTTCGCCAGTGCTTAGCACCAAGCCCTGCCTTACTGATGACTCAAATATTACTGAGTGCATTTCAGTCTTTTTTCTTCAGCCTCCCCATGTGCCTTGTTATGAAATATAGGCCAATTTACTGAAAATCAGCACACAGTGTTCAATATTTCCCCCATAAACTGTAAAGGAACTGTGCCCTTTGGAGCTGAGGTTCGTACCCAGAAGTGTCTGACTCCAAATCCTGGATCTACCACCTCCCACAAGGAACTCCAGAAGAGAGGCCTAAAGACTGAAACAGGCTGGTGAGATTCCACCTGTAGGTGTCATCTGAAACTGGAAAGAGGCTCAATCCCAGCACTCTGGAGGCTGAGGCAGAGGATCAGGAAGGAGTTCGAGGCCTGCCTGGGCTATATAATGATTTCAAGGCTAGCCCAGGCTGCATAATAAGACCCTATCTCACTCCTACCCTCTCAAAAAAGATTTTCATTACTGGAAATGTCCTAAGACGAAGGCTGTCTGAATGCACAAACCTACTCAGTGACCCACTTGGCTTAAAAAGAGTTTCAAGACAGGGAGATTCTCTATCAAATCCCCACTTCAAAGTCCTTGGAAGGCTCCTATCAGGCCAAAGAAAACCAGTCCTGGATGTTCTACCTCAAACACTGCCTTCCCAGGAGATTTATTTTTAAAGGAGAACCACTGAAGGAGAACTGTGATTGACCCTAAAGAAGGCCACTGTCACCAGGCCCAGGCCTCGTGGGTGGAGCGAATATTTTAGGGCAGTGGCTAAATAGCAGTTAACCCCAATCCCCCAGAGGGATTATTCAATATCTAGCTATTTCAGGCTTAGGTTAACAGAAGAGGTATGAGGAACCTAGATGTGTTGTGAGGTGTCTTGGTTATATTTGGATGATGCTAGAGCTTGTTAGGAAAAATAATGACCCCTAGCTCTCCAGGATGGGTAAGGGATTTCCTTTGTGAGTTACAAGAGGATCTTTTGTAGTGACTTTTTAAAATGAGTTAGAGAATAGCACAATCTGTTTCCAAGATATGTTGGCATTGGTAAATGGGAAAAAAAACAAGTACAGTATGTATCAGATGAGACCAAATGTTGTGTGTTTTATGTAGAGAACAGTATGACCCACAAATATTGCTATGTAAATATAAATTTTAATTTAAATAAGTACAAAGTAAAATTTAAAAGTCATTAGTCAAATTGCAAGAACTCAGTGGTCATGTGTAGCTGGCTAATGGCTATTGTCTTAGACAATACAGAAGATTATTTTCATCATTACCCTGCTGATCTTTGTTTTGGAGACAGAGTCTTGCTGTGGAATACATTATGTACAGCAGGCTGACCTTGAACTTCTGGCAATTCTTAGTGTCTATCTCCTGAGTGCCAGGATTACAGACAAGTGTCAACAGCCCAGGCTCACCATTACAGTTCTGCTTAGTGCTGTCATGGAATCTGTCTGGAAGGACATGTAAGACACTGAGAATGACAGATGCTTTCAACTAGGAGGCTGCAAAGTGGGATACCCCCCTCTTTTTGAAAGATCTTTTAGATTTTTATTTTTATTTATATGTATATGTGTGTGCCTGCTTGTCTGTATGTACACCATAGTCATGCAGATGCCCTCAGAGGCTAGAAGAGAGTGTTGGATCCCCTGGAGCTGGAGTTACAGCACTTGTGAGCCATTTGACGTGGATGCTAGGAACTGAACTCAGGTCCTCTACAAGAGCAGTATATGCTCTTAACTGGCCATCTCTCCAGCCCCATAGGATACCCCCTGTCATAGTTTGTTTCTTCATTGCTGTGACAAAACACTCTGACCACTACCAACTTGAGGAGGAAAGGGTTTATTTATCTTACAGCTTGCAGGTCAGAGTTCATCAGGGAGCCCAAGGCAGGAACTTAGGGCAGGAATCTGAAGGCAGAAACTGGAGCACAGGCCATGGAGGAACACTGCTTACTGGCTTGGTCACCTGACCCATGCTCAGCCTGCTTACTTATACAACACAGGCCCACCTTCCCAGGGGTGGTACCACCCACAGTGGGCTGGGCCCTCCCACATCACTCAACAATCAAGAAGACACCCCATGGACATGGCCACAGGCCAGTCCAATGACGGCAATTCCCCAATTGAGGCTCCCTCAACCCAGGTGTGTCAAGTTGACACTAAAGCTATCCAGCACACCCCCTTTGAATTGTGTGTCATTTGCTTGCATTAGACACTTTTAAAAGAAAAATGTAAAAATAGAAGGCTAGAAAGATGGCTCAGTGGTTAAGAGCACTAGTTGCTTTTACAGAGAACCCAGGCTTAGTTCCTAACACCCACATGACAGCTAACAACAATCCATAACTCCAGTTCCAGGTGATCTGATGCCCTTTTTTGGCCTTTCTGGGCACTATACAACATGGGTGCACTTATATACATGCAGGTGAAAACACTCGTATGTATATATAAAAACAAATATTTTTAATTGTAAAAAATTATTTTTAAATAATACAAATTGAGACTTAGTAAATCTATAATGGGCCTCTGAACTAGGACAGTGTTTCCTGGGTAATTACTTTGCAATTTGCCCAAAACTTAGCAAGCTAATAGTATGATTTCACTTTTTTTTTAGCTTAAATTTCTTAGCTCCCACCACCCTCTCTCCATTCTTAGGAGCTCACAAGCAACAAAGGGGATTAATAACAGAAATGTTCAAAGAATAAAAATAGCTGTCATGCCCTGGTTGGCATCTTTTTCTTAGAAATACCTGTGGGGTTACCATGATTATATTTTGTGAATAATTACTGGTCATAGTTCCCACTGTTAAGGATCTTCCCAGTTCTATGGCAGAAATAATTGTTTTGTGGAATGCCCAGTGTCTGAGCAGACTGTCTCCTGGGCAAATTTGAGAATCAGTGAAATGCGATCTTGCTTGTAATCCAAGAGATCTGCCTGCCTCTGCCTCCCAAGTGCTGGGATTAAAGGTGTGCAAGTCACCTGGCTAGATTTCTTTTCTTTTTTTAAAAAAATTAATTTTTGCCAGGCGTGGTGGTGCATGCCTGTAGTCCCAGCACTTGGGAGGCAGAGGCAGGTGGATCTCTGTGAGTTCAAGGCCAGCCTGGTCTACATAGTGAGTTCCAGGACAGCTGGGGCTACAGGGAGACCCTGCTTCAAACAAACAGACAAACCAGCTGCAATGAGAAAAAAAAATTAATTTTTTATTTTATGTGTATGTGTGTATTGCCTGCATGTAGGTAAGTGCACCTGTGTCCAGCAATGGCTGCGGAGGTCAGAAGAGGCTGTCGGATCCCCTGGGACTGGAGTTATGGACAGTTGTTAGCTGCCCTGTGGGTGCTGGGATTCAAACCCAGGTCTTCTGCAAGAACAACCAGTGTTCTTAAGAGCCATCTCTCCAGGTCCGTCCCCCCCACCACCCCGATTTCTTTAAGACCTACCTGTAACTCTCCTGCTGTAGCCCACACTTAGGCCCTAGGCTTCCTTTCGGTAGAAGTCTGCAAGGGTAGAGTATGCCTCCTGCCGAGTCCCTTACTGGCTGCTTTTTATCATTCTGGACCCATTTTAAAGAGAGGTGTCTCTTTCTTTCTTTCTCTTTCTTTCTTTCCTTCCTTTCTCTTTCTTTCTTTCTCTCTCTTTCTTTCTTTTTCTTTCTCTTTTCTTCTCTCTCCTCTCTCTCTTTCCTCCCTCCCTCCCTTCCTTCTTTTCTCTGTTTTTTTTTTTTGGGGGGGGGCTTTTTCAATGGAAAGAAAGCAATTATATGGCCAGAAGATGAAGAGCAGATCCCTGAACTTCATGGCTCAGGGGGCTGCTGACTTAGAGCAGCCAGTCCACGAAAGCCTCAGGGCAACCACGTGGTACAAGGCGCGTTCAAAACTGCGGGTTGACTAGCTAGGAAAACCACACACCTAGGCTGCTACTAGTGCCGAGACCTGCCCACTGCTGTGTTAATGCCTTTAGGGATGCACAGAGAGGGCAGTAACCGTTAAGTGGGCACCTTCGGCTTAAGGAGGAGAAATAACCCCAAAGTCCTACAGTTGGTGGCAAGGCCCAGCATGGATCTGGTCTGACCCGGATCTGCAGCAGGCAGGCGGCATCGACGCGTTTCAAGGTGGCTGAGCCTCTCAGCGCAGCCTGCCACCCTGGGGCCCCAGGACCGAGGACTTGCTCTGGGGACCCGGCAAGCCTTTGCTGGGGAAGGGGGAAGGACGGCCCCGCCCCTCGACTCCTCCAGGCCCCACGATTGGCTCCATGGATCAGGGACCCGGCCCGAGCGCGGAACCAGTGTGATGGCGTCAGACGCTCCGCGCCGCTTCCTGTTGTCAGTGGCGGGGAGGCTGTGGCGTCTGCCGGCCGTCCGAGAGGTGTTCTCCCCGGGAGCACACCACCGGCTCCCGGTTTCCCGGCGGTGTGTCGGGAGGAGGGGAACGCGGGCGGAGGGGCGCGAACCAGTGGCGGGTCCCCGACCTTGCCGCCACCCGGAACTCCCGGGTGCCCTAGAAGAGGGTCTCAGATCCCCTGGGACTGGAGTTATGGACTGATGTTAGCTGCCCTGTGGGTGCTGGGATTCAAACCCAGGTCTTCTGCAAGAACAACCAGTGTTCTTAAGAGCCATCTCTCCAGGTAGGTTGCGCCCCCCCCCGCCCCGATTTCTTTAAGACCTACCTGTAACTCTGCTGTAGCCCACACTTAGGCCCCAGGCTTCCTTTTGGTAGAAGTCTGCAAGGGTAGAGCATGCCTCCTGCCCAGTCCTTTACTGGCTGCTTTTGACGTTCTGGGCCCATTTTAAAGAGAGGTGTCACTTTCTTTCTTTTCCTTCCTTCCTCCCTTCTTTCTTTTCTGGTTTTTTTTGGGGGGGGGTTCTTTTTCAATGGAAAGAAAGCAATTATATGGCCAGAAGATGAAGAGCAGATCCCTGAACTTCATGGCTCAGGGGGCTGCTGACCTAGAGCAAACCGGTCCACGAGAGCCTCAGGGCAACCACGTTGTACAAGGCGCGTTCAAAACTGCGGGTTGACTGGCTAGGAAAAGCACTCACCTAGGCTGCTACTGGTGCCTGAGACCTGCCCACTGCTGTGCTAATGCCTTTAGGGATGCACAGAGAGGGTAGGAACCGTTAAGTGGGCACCTTCGGCTTAAGGAGGAGAAATAACCCCAAAGTCCTACAGTTGGTGGCAAGGCCCAGCATGGATCTGGTCTGACCCGGATCTGCGGCAGGCAGGCGGCATCGACGCGTTTCAAGGTGGCTGAGCCTTTCAGCGCAGCCTGCCACCCTGGGACCCCAGGACCGAGGACCTGCTCTGGGGACCCGGCAAACCGTTGCAGGCGAAGGACGGCCCCGCCCCTCGGCTCCTCCAGGCCCCAGGATTGGCTCCACGGGGATCAGGGACCCGGCGCGAGCGCCGAACCAGTGTGATGGCGTCAGACGCTCCGCGCCGCTTCCTGTTGTCAGTGGCGGGGAGGCTGCGGGGTCTGCCGGCCACCGAGGGGTGTTCTCCCCGGGAGCGCACCGCCGGCTCTCCCGTTCCGGTTGGTGTGTCGGGAGGAGGGAAACGCGGGCGGAGGGGCGCGAACCAGTGGTGGGTCCCCGGCCTTGCCGCCACCCGGGACTCCACCCTTCCCAACCCTGGCCGGCAGCGATGGCCGCTCCCTTCGTCCCCACCTAACTGACCGCAGCCCTCGGTGCTGTCCTGGAACCACCGACCTTGGTAAGTGCACCCGCACTCGTGACCCCCCTTTAGCCCACTTGCGACCGGATCTGGGCCACATCCCTTCGCCTCTTACCTCAATATCACCCTCACCCCTCAACTCCTCCGAACCTCAGCTCGACCCTCGATTCGGGCTCAGCTTTCTTATCCCGGCCTCTCACACCCCTGCCCAACCCCACTAGGTCTGTTCGCCCCAAACACCCTGCCAGCTCTCTCACCCTGGGGCAGTAGAAACCATCTCTTCCTTTTGGCTGGTGTTTTGACCATGGAGAATCTGAGAGTGCTCTGTGATCCTAGAGCCATGTCCCTATGTCTTCTCCAAGCCCTTTCCCAGTGCTCCTTTCTGCCATAGCTAAGTCTAGACTTGTCCCAGTGTTGAACCCAGCGAACATGACAGCTGCCACAGGCTTGTTTGAAAATCATGAAGAGTATAGATGAGTAGGCCTTGGGGAGGGTAGAGGACCAGGTAGTAGAAAGGCTGTTGAATTACTTCTTTTCATAGGTGCTGGATCTGTCTTAGCCATTTATGTTTCAGGAGCATGTGAAGGTGAACTACTTGTGAGTGGCTGAGGCAGATGGGTGGCCTTGAGGTCCTGTGCTCAGCATTTATAGTTTCTTGGGAACTTTGGGATATATGTTTCCTTCAAGTTCGGATGGGCTTGGCTTCAGAGGGGTGATCAGAAGGGGTGATGGCAGTTTTTTACCCAATACTGGAGATTTAATTCAGGGTTTTGTGCATGCTAGAGAAGTATTTAACCACTGAACTACACCCAAGCCCTAACAGAAATCATAGAGACCCTGGAGATGGTTGTCTTTCTTTGGAGGCCGAATAAAATTCTATCTTCAGTATCCTCTCATAGTGCAACCTTCAGGTTGGCTTTTGGCTTGTTGTCAACTTAGTCTAGTGGCAGGAATTCCCCAGTAGCCTACCATTGCCAGAGTGGTGTACCTCAGTTTCTCAGTCTGTCAAATGGACTGTGTGCCTTGCTTTTATTTTACTTATCAAGTCATTTAATAAGTTTTTGATCATTTGTTTTGAGCACCACTGTATGCCATGCAGTCTTAGGAACTAGAAAGGCAGTGATGGGGTGAGTCCTACAAAGTTCTGATTTTCATTCATTCCAGGTGCAGTGCTGCACATCTACAACCCTAACTACTCAGGAGTCTGAGGCTGTGGGATTGTGAGTTCAAGACCTTCCTATAGAGTTTAAGGTCTTCCTGGGCTACATACCAAATTCAAGATCAATTTATGCTACATAAGAAGACATTGTCTCAAAAATTTAAAAATGGCTGGGGCTGGAGAGATGGCTCAGCGGCTAAGGCACTGGCTGTTCTTGCAGAGGACCCGGGCTCAGTTTCCACATGGCAGCTAACAATACCCTCTTCTGACCTCCATGGGGCATTGCAGGACATGGGTGCACTTATATACATGGCGGCAACACACTCATAGACATAAATTTTTTTTTTATTAAAATAAATTTTAACAGGGCTGGGATGTAGCTCAGCATTAGAATCCTTGCCAAGTACTGTGCCGTCTCCAGCACTGGAAGAAAAATACAATAGCCAGGCATAGTTGGCTCATACCTGTAATCTCTGCACTCAGGGAGACTAAGGCAAGAGAACAGCCATAAATTAAGGCCAGCCTGGACTATACAGCAAGATCTTATCTTGAAAAATCAAATAAGGGGACGAGCGATGGCTCAGCAGTTAAGAGCACTGGCTGCTCTTGCAGAGGAGCCGGGTTCAATTCCTAGAACCCACGTGGCAGCTGACAGCCATCCAAAAATTCATTTCCAGGGGAACCCAACACCTTTTTCTGGCCTCTGCAGGCGTTACACAACATGGGTATATTTATATACATGAAGGCAATATACTCATACACACAAATTAAAAGTAATAAATTATTTTTTAAAAAAACAAAATGAGTCATGGTAGCACACTCCTTTAATCCCAGCACTCGGGAGGCAGAGGCAGGTGGATCTCTGTGAGTTCAAGACTAGCCTGGTCTACATAGTGAGTTCCAGGCCAGCTGGGGCTACAGGGAGACCCTGTTTCAAAAAGACTCCCCCCCCCAAAATGAGGTGGAGGGAAGAATCCTATACAGTATGGGGTAAGAATATGGGGGAGATGGGTGGTATTGCATGGAAGACAAGTGGGGCAAAAGAAATGTACTCAGTGTTCACAGCACCCTCACCCACTAGTCCTTGGTCTAGTGTTTCTGCCTCCAGTAATACTTAATTTGAAAGCAATAGCTTCAAAGGCCTGTCTGCTTTACTCCCATCCTTCCCAGGACACTTGTCCAGAAACTCAGCTTTCTTTAGATGGAAAGAGATGCTGTTTACTCACACAGCATTCACGTGTCTGAAAGATCAGCTGCCTTTCTGAATCAGAAGATAACTCTGAAATTCTTTTCCAACTGAAATAACATGACTCATCATTGGTTTAGCAGCTGGATGGCATAAGCACCAGGCTGGTCAGAACTGCTCGGTATGCGGCTCAGTAGTAGAGAGGGCTATTGGGAGTGGTGGAGATGTCTCTGAAGAGAAGTCCTTGCCTTGTGCTGATTGGTTGAATGTTTATAGAGCAGTAAAGCCAGGTTTACCATTCTTTGCTTGTAAAAATCTCACCTATGCCTTTTTTTTCTTCCTCAAACTGTAGAGGAAGTGAAATTGAACATACAGTCTACAGAAGTGTAAGTAATATAATGAAGAAAAGCAACCGGACGTGTGTTGACCATTTAAGAAAGGACAGTCTGAAACTTGGGTATCATGGGAAGGACCTGGACTCAGCTGCTCGGGCCTGTAAATCTGTCTGGCAAGACTGCCTTGTTGATTTTAGGTCTTATTGATAAAATGGAACTTCTGAGCTCTTTTGACCTGAGGTAGTTTGACCTGAAGAAAGGACTAAGGAGTCCTGAGGCTTCTGTCCCTTACCTGAAGTCTGCTTCTCCTGAGCCTATCTGCTCCCCCAAAGTAGAGATGACCAGTTCTCTCTTAGAATAACAAGGTTGTTCTAAGAATTAAATTTAGAGGTTGAAAAGTGAGATCAGAGGACCTTGCTTTGTTCCTTCTGGAAAGTCATGGAAATGCGAATCAAGGCCGTGGATACATGTAGAGTTAGTGTGACTTGGAGTTTCCCAAATGGCAAGAGTTGCCTTTTCCCTGCTAGCTCTGCCCAGTAATGTTGGAGAGCCTCTTAACATTGTTTCCCAAGTCTTTTCCTTACTCTCTTTGGCATGGGTGTCCTGGAAGCCATTCCTCTCTCCAGCCTTGTTCTTGGTGTCTGTGAAGAACAGCTAAAGGCAGGAAGTGACACTGGTTCCACATGCTGGTAGATCTGGAATCTGAGGCACCAGGTAGATAATGGTCACTGACTCAGCAGTCAGATCCTAAGCCCCATCAAGTTCCATGAGCAAGTGCTTTTATCGTTGTATCCACGAAGCACTATGGCTTAGACATGAGTAACTAAGGTATTTTGGCTTCCTCCAAAGGAGGGTAAAGGTAGCCCGAATCTGAAAGTGGTGGCCTATTTTGTGAATTGTGAAATGACTTGATCTGGGTTTCTCTGAGACATTGCCAGTTATTTTGTGCTTTTCTGACAAGTAACAATTGCTTGTATCTTCTCGGGCCCTACAGGCTCTGTCTTAGCTTCAGTTTATTTTGGTTTGGTTTGGTTTGGTTTAGGAGACTGGAGGAGTGGGGTGTCTTACTCTATAGCCAGGCTGGCCTGGAACTCACTATATGGCTGAGATCACTGTATGGTCCAAACTCTCAGCAATCCTCCTGCCTCAACCTCCTGAGTGCTGGGGTTATAGGAATGAGCCACCATCTCCCAGATTTGTTTTTGTTTTGTTTGTTTTCACATGGTTTTGGTTTTCTGAGACAGGATCTCATGAATCTGAGGATGACATTGAACTCCTTTTATCTCTACTTTGCAAATGTTCTGATTACCAGCCTGGGTTTTTGTTTTGTTGTTTTAAACTAACTGTTACTGGATCAGATCCCTTATATATTAATAGCCCTCCCATGAATACTCTATTACTCTCTGCTAACTGGTTCAGGAGGCTTTAATGGACACAAGCCATTATTTACATTGTTGAGGTCAAAGCTCTAGGGTCCTATCCATACTGGCTAATAGAAGAGCAAGGGGAATTTGAAGGCTTTGTCTAGAGCAGCAGGCTAGAGGCAGAGAAAGCCTCAGGCCCTGGAATTAAGGGTTAGAGGTTGGAGGCAATGTCTTGGAGCCCCAGCAGTTGGATTTTGCCTGCTGGGCTACACAAGAGTAGCGAGGAAGGAGCCCAGTTTTCAGGACAGGCATGTTGTGAGGAGTGGCTGTGCGTAACCACAGCACATACCTTCTTTCCTACCATCTTGGAGACCACATGGTGGAGCTGACCTCCTGTGGCCCTGAGAACCCTGGGGAGGTGGGGCAGAATGTGGAATGCCAGGGTCTTGGGTCTTTCTGGTGGTCCGCCTCCATGAGGGCCAGGCTCCTGCCTCCCTCCGTGATGCCTCTGAGGAGGTCCACTCTGGATCCTGGCCCCTGTGCCCTGTTCATTCCTGTCACCTCCAGAGGCCAGAGATTGTGACTTGGCAGCTTCACCAAGAACCCATCCTTTCGCTCCTTCTCAGGCCCAACGTTCCTCTGCTTCCTTGTAAACCTTGCCTGCCAGACTGGCCTTAATATTCCCTGGACCTGAAGCTGAAATGTCCTTCTCCCAGCCCCCCTCAAGGTCTAGCTCTGAGAATAGCATTCACTTAGAAGTCTAGGGTTTCTCTTGAGCTGGGTTGGTATTGCTCTGAGGGCTAGTGATAGAGCCAAGCCACTGTCAGCTGTGGCCTGTAAATCTATTCCTTGACCTGTGTCCTTCATGTCCTCCTCTATTGGGTAGAGATATGAAATGGCGTTCCTAGGGTGATCAGAAGTGTAAATGAGATCTATGTAACCTCCCTTGACTGAGTTAACTTCTTTGGACTATAATTATTTAGAGCCAAGGCAGCTTAAACAATTTTAATTTTAATTCCCTGATGTACTGCAGAGTGTTCCCTAGAGACTTGCTTGGTCTAGATGAACCCAGGGAAGAAGCCCCGTGCCTTTTGGAATTTAATGATGTACTACCTTCAACTATGGGTTCATTCATTTTGGGCAATAGCATTCTTTGCTCATAGATTTGGGTGGCTCCATCCATTAGAATTACAGATACCATTTAAACCCTGACCACATCATGTTCAGACTTCCCACCTGAGAGATCTGGTTCCACACCCCCTCAAGCCTGCCTAGCTAGTAGCACATTGTGAAATCAGCTCCCATGTGGGTAATTTAGACACATCCCTGTGACACTCAAGCTAAACCCTTGCAACCCAAAGGAGAAGCAGAAGTTGGCAAGAGAGCTCTCTTCTGAAGCTGCTGCAGGTGTTTAACCCTGGTCTGGACAGGAGTTGGGGCTAGTGCAAGGCCCAGGCCTTGGGTATGAATTGCGAGGCCTTGCTTCGTGGTCCACACCACTTCTTAGCACCTCCAACAAAAGCATCCCCACATGGTTTAGGCAGTGCTGCTTAAGTTTTCCATTCACAACCCCTTTCACCTGAAAACTTTACATGACCCCAGGTATGTAGGTATCTAAAACAGATACAAATCAAACATTTAATAATAATAATAAATCATTAATTTATTTTAAAGCAATTATTTGGTACATATAATTTACTGTTTATTGAAGACAAAAGCATATTTGCATGCTAATAAGATCCTTGTTTGTCTAAAAATCCAATTCAAAATTCTGATACATGCTGCGGAAATATTAAAAGCTTTTGTCCTCTATAATTAAGCCATTATGTTTCTATAAAATCAGAAAACTTTGAACAATAAAAATACTCCAAGATGTAGTTGTCTCAAATCTGAGCTGAGCTGATTCAGGCAGCATTCAGTGATGATGCATGGTGTGACAGCATGTATGGTGTAAATGTGTGCGTGTTCCCTGTTCAGAACCAAGACTGCAGTGAAGTCATGTAATGCGACATGGAGTGCTGCCAAAAGCACCTCGGGTAAATTAGGCATTTGATTTTGAATTATTACTTTGTTTTGTCTTGTTTTTTGAGACAAGGTTTCCCTGTAGCCCCAGCTGGCCTGGAACTCACTAAGTAGACCAGACTGGCCTCAATCCACCTACCTCTGATCTGCCTGCTTCTGTCTTCTTGGTGTGCTGGGATCAAAGCTGTGTACCACCATACCCAGACTTTTGAATTAATTTTTGATAGTTGTGTGTTCAGAAACTTTTTTCTGTTGACAAATTTTTGAAATCCCCACATTTAGTTATGCTCTCCCATATGGGGTATCAACTCACTGTTTAAGAAGCTTTGCAAAGCTGTCTTTCTTTGATCCACACACCAATAGGCCCTGGTTTTCTGTGCAGCTTTTGGTGTGAAGAGTTCTTGCCACCCACTCACTGCACACAGTCTCACCCTCCCAAGGACTGAGCCCCTGGTTTTTTTCTTTCCTTGTTTTCTTAAAATCCAGTCTCAGTTTTTCCTTTTGTGTTGCTCAAAGGCCTTTTGGTTGCGGTTTGAGTGTGGTGGCCTGACCCCTTGCTGGGAGGGGACTGTGGTTGTGGGGCTGAGTTGGGAGCATGCTCATCTGGCTTCCTTCTGTCCCTACAGTTGTCATGTGAGTCTCCTTGGGAGCTACTGCCTGAGTGGAAATGCTCTCAGTGGTGGAGAATGGACTGGACCCTCGGGCTGCCATCCAGGTTGGTGGGCAAAGGAGAATCGAGGGCGGAAGGGCTGCATGGGCTGCTGTTTCATCAGTGTCTCAATTTTCTTTTCTCTCTCTCTCTCTCTCTCTCTCTCTCTCTCTCTCTCCTCTCTCGCTCACTCACTCGCTCTTGCTCTCCCTCTCGCTCTCTTTTTCGAGACAGGGTAACCTAGGCTGGTCTTAAATACGCTGTGTAGCCAAAGATGAACTCCTTATCTTCCTGCCTCCACCTCCAAGGTGCTAGGATTGCAGGCGTGCGCCATCACACCCAGCTTTCGCCTGCTTCTCCTTTTGTGAAATGAACAAGCCTTGTCCAGAGAGAGGCTTCAGGTGGAGAAAAAAAGTTATAGCAAAAGCAGGCTTCAAGGAGACCCTGCCCTTTCTAGATCAGATAGATGATAGTGTGTGTGTGTGTGTGTGTGTGTGTGTGTGTGTGTGTGTGATGCATGCATATAGGTGTTCAGTGCTCATGCTCACAAGTATGAAGGCCAGAGGAGGAAGTCTGGTGCATTCCTCTATCCCTCCCCAACTTGTTGCCCTGAGATAGGCTAGGCTGCTGGCAAGCCAGCTCTCAGAATCCACTTGTCTCTACCTCTCCAATGCTGGAATTACAGGTATGCACAACCATGCCCAACTTTTTATGTGGGTGCTGAGGGCTTAACTCAGGTCCTCATGTTCGTGTAGTAAGCAGTTTACCAACTGAGCTATCTCCTTACCTGCTCCCCCCAATGGTTTTTTTTTTTTTTTTTTGTCTTTTTGAGATGGGGTCTCCCTGTAGCCCCAGCTGACCTAGAACTCACTATGTAGACCAGGCTGGCCTCAAACTCAGAGATCTGCCTGCCTCTGTCTCCCAAGTGCTGGGACTAAAGGCGTGTGCCACCACGCCCAGCCCCCTAAATCATTTTTATGATTATAAAATGGGAATCCATGTAAAGCACAGTGGGGATTTAAGGTCTGTTACCTGGAGACTGAAGATTTCCCTCCAGCCCTTAGGTCTTCTGCCTTTCGGCCATGATTGGGGTGACAGTTTCCTCAACCATTGCTTTGGTCTAAAGCTGTGCTCTCAGTAGTTGTTTCAGTTATGAGATAATTGACAGCTTACATACACCTCTGAAGATTTTCTGTTTTCTGGGAATTTTTCAAACACAGGTGTTTGTGCCCAGTTTACCAGAGTCTTTCATACCCCCTCTTAGAGAACCTTTTGCCCTGTTTGGCCCTGGACTTCGTTGGGCACTCTGGACTGGCTGTCAGTTTTCTTGAAGAAGCAGGAGTTCAGGTAGCTTTTGGGCTCAACAGAACCCTGAGGTAACGTCTTGGGAGAAGCCTTTTCTGCTCCAGTTACCAGAACTTTATTAGCAAGGAACTGCATGTCTCAGAAAGCTGCCTTCCCTGGCCTGGGCACTAGAGGGTCAGATCTTCCTGTCTCCCTGCTGGCTTCCATGCCTAGGCCTTTATAATCCTCCCTATCCTACCCTGGGCCCTCTGGAGCCCTGGACCGCTCATATGGAAGACTGCACAGACTGGTTATCTCTGCTTTCATGCCATAGCACCTGGCAGACACTCACTTGGAAATAGTTTATATATAATCTAATAATAGCTTATGTTTAAAAGAACATTTAAAATTGAACCCCTTCAAGATTAAAACCTTTCTGTGTTTCAGAGAACACTATGGATAAAGTGATATTCATGGGCACATACCACCCCCCACACATAACACATAATTTTAAAATGAAGTATCTGAAAAATAATAATAAAGTGGGGTTAAGAAAGGAAAAATAAAGTGAAAAGATAGTCACAGAAAAAAAGAAGGTATAGTGTCCAAAATAGAGAGAACTGCTTCAACTGAACAATGAAAGGACAATCCAGAGGCTGCAGAGATGGCTGTCAGTAAAGTGCTTGCTACACATAAGCATGAGTACTTGAGCTTGGATCTCCAGCACCTACATAAAAGCTGGGCATGGCAGCCTGTGTCTGTAGCCCCAGTGGGAATGCGGAACAGGGACTGCTGGATCCCTAGAGCTCATTGGCCAGGCAGCCTAGCCAAATGAGCTCCAGGTTCAGTGAGAGACCCTGTCTCTTAAGAATAAGATGGAGAGTGACTAAGGAAGACACCCGACAGCAAACTCTTGCCTTCACGCTCATTCTGCACACTGGCTGATCCTGCAGAGGACCTGAGTTCAGTACCCATAACCTGCCCGTAGGGTCATAATCATCTGTAACTCATTTTGGAATTTGGTGCCCTCTTCGGGCCCCTGTAGGCATCACTTACATACATGACAGGCAAAACGCTCATAAACAAGATGAAATTTTTTTTAAGAGAAATGAAATGCTGATATACCTAGAGCATAGAAAACCTTGAAAACATGCCAAGTCAGAGAAGCCAGCCACACACACATACAACATATGTTGTGTTTCCATTTCTTTTTTCTTTTCTTTCTTTTTCTTTCTTTCTTTCCTTCCTTCCTTCCTTCCTTCCTTCCTTCCTTCCTTCCTTCCTTCCTTCCTTCCTTCTTTCCTTCCTTCCTTCCTTTCTTTTTTTGTCTTTTTGAGATAGGGTCTCCCTGTAGCCCCAGCTGGCCTGGAAATCGCTATGTAGACCAGGCTGGCCTTGAACTCATAGAGATCCGCCTGCCTCTGCCTCCCGAGTGCTGGGATTAAAGGCGTGCGCCACCAAGCCCGGTCTATTTTATTATTTTTATTTTACATGTATGAATGTATTGCTTGCATGAAAGTAGGTGCACCCATGTCATGCAATGCCTGCAGAGGTCAGAAGAGGGTGACGGATCCCCCTGGAACTGGAGTTACAGATGGTTGTTAGCTGCCATGTGGGTGCTGGGAATCAAACCCAGGTCCTCTGCAAGAGCAGCCAGTATTCTTAACAGCAGAGCCATCTCTCCAGCCCCATATTTCCATTTCTTTTAAATGTCCAGAACAGGCAAATCCATAGAGGCAGAAAGTAGATTAGTGCCTACAGCCACTCCTAGTTCCCTCTCCCCTTCCTCCTAGCAACCACTAATATACAGTTCTTTAAGTAGTGTTGAAAATGCTCTGAAATCAGATCATGGGAAAGGTTTATAATTCTCTGAATATACTAAAAATCACTGAACTTTATTCCTTTTCAAAAATGTTCTAAATTTTATTGGCTCTAAATCTTCAGATTAAAGAAGTTCCATGAACTCTAGAGAGAATAAGCATAACAAAACTGTATAAAACCATTCACCATATTGTTTAGGAATATACCTATGATTAAAAAAAAAAAACAGTAAATAGTAAAGGTAAAATTTACCAAAACTCAGGAATATGGTTACTTCTGGGAAAGAAAAAAAGCCTTCAATTGAACTCTATAATTTAGATTGGTGAGTTTAATGTGAATTATAACTATTTTTTATTAATATTTTATTATTTTTATTTTATGTGTATGAGTGTATTGCCTGCATGTATGTAAGTGCACCCATGTTGTACAATGCCTGCAGAAGTCTGAAGAGGGCGTTGGATCCCCTAGAAATGGAGTTAGGGACGGTTGTGAGCCACCATGTGGGAACCAAATCTGGGTCCTCTGCAGGAGCAGCCAGTGTTCTTAACCTCTGAGCTATCTCTCCAGCCCCCAATTTTTAAAATTTTTTAAAATAACTTTCCAAAGAATATTAACACTTACTGTTTTGGCTAAGTCAAAACAGTTGAGATACTCATCCATAATTTAACACTAATTCAAACCAGTTTTTCTACAGTTCCTTCTAGTTCTTTGCAAAATAGCAATATAATTTTGATCCAGTCATTGTAAGGAATAGGAGTTTTAAGCTGAGAACTCTTTCCCAAGTTTCAGCATCAAAATGTTAGGATATAGGAGTGAAAGGAGTCGCAAACAGAAAGGAAAAACAGCCTACCTCAGTGATCCAAATTGATCTTTTTTAGTCAATGAGGGGTGATTATCGACCAGCCAGAGTCTACAGTACCCTGCAGTAGACACACTGGCCAAACAGCAGGGGAGCTTAAGTACGTTTGTGTATAGAGCTCCCCCCATACCCCCATAAGGATCTCTGAAAGGCTTGTTTGCAGAGCAGGACCTGTTTGTGGAGCAGAAAACACTTTATGGTTGGAGCTTATTGGGGTCTCAGACAAACTTGTTTGCAGAGCAAGAATTGCTTTATAGGTGGTTTATGGGTGTCTCCCTTTACTCATACTTATGATTGTATAATTTTTACTCTAAATTTCCATAACATTTCTCTCTTTTTTTTTTTTTTTTTTTTTTTTTTTTTTTTTGAATTGGGTTTTTCTTTATCCCTTTTTTGTCCTGGAACTCACTGTGTAGACCAGGCTGGCCTTGAACTCACAAAGAGCCACCTGCCTCTGCCTCCCAAGTGCTGGGATTAAAGGCGTGCACCACCACACCCAGCTCCATAACATTTCATATATATTTTGTAATGTATTCCTTATACATACTTACATGGACTAGACATAGTGGCCAGTACTGGGGACACAGAAGGAATAAAAACCTATTTCTGCCTGCAGAGAGGAATGTATGCCCCAGTGCTGTAGATGAGGATATTGTCCCATTTAACCAAATAGGGAATTGAGGCTCAAAGAGGCAAATGAAATGTCTGAAGTGACCCAGCTAGTTCCTAACAGAGCTGGGACTTTGATTCCATACTTGGGCTCTTAAGTGATCAGGCTTCTATGGTGTCCTGACATTTTTCCCTTCAGTTCTCAGACTCTTACTCAGAGCTTATACCTGCTAAGCACACTCTGTAGCACTGAGCCTCCTCCCCACCCCACCCCCAGCCCTTTCTTGAGGTTTTTATTGTTCCAAGGCAATACTTTGTGTCTGCTTAGTTTAGCTCTACTTAATGTCCCCAAGCTTGCATAGCTATAACTATAGTAGAGTCAGTATTTAAAGATTGATTGAAGTTTGATTTAAAATACAAAAGATAGGCATTGTGTGGTGGCATACGACTTTAATCCCAGCACTTGGGAGGCAGAGGAAGATGGATCTTTGTGAAGCCAGCTGGAGCTTCAGGGAGACCCTGTCTACAAACAAACACAAATAAGATAGGCAGAACCATTTCTTGCTCTATTGCTGTGTCTTTATTTGTCACAGTTAAAGAGCCAGTTTTGCAGAAGGAACCCTTAGTTGTATACATAAGTGTGTGTGTACAGTTGCACACATTGAACCACAGGCCATAAATTCCAAGGGCTTGCTGTAGGATTGCCTCTAAAATCTCCCCTTGTGTTTGACATGGCGTAGGTCATCAAGAAGAAGCTGGTGGGGTCTGTGAAGGCTCTGCAGAAGCAGTATGTGTCCCTGGATACGGTGGTTACCAGTGAAGATGGAGATGCCAACACCATGTGCAGTGCCCTGGAGGCCGTGTTTATCCATGGTCTACATGCCAAGCACATCCGCGCTGAGGCCGGAGGAAAAAGGAAGAAACATACTCACCAGAAGCCTCTGCCTCAGCCTGTCTTCTGGTCTCTCCTGAAAGCTGTCACCCACAAGTGAGATACACCAAAGAGGGTTGGCTTGGGGAAGGAGCTTCAGAATGTGGGGGACACTTGGCTCCTCTCCTGGGTGACGGAGCAAGCAGATACCCCGTGTTCTAGTGTAGGGATACTATGAGGTAGGACTAGAGAGGGTCTTATAAACATGTTTATCTCCAGACCTTGAGACACTCAGCAAGAGCCTGTGGCAGCTTCCCATGCCAACACTAGTGGCCTTTGGATCATACTATGGAGAATCATGTAGTTACTACTGAGTTTTGTTGCCTGCAAAGCCTAAATAGTCTCTGATCCTTTCTACAGAAAAAGTTGCTGACCTTGCCTTTGAATATTTGAACCTCTGTGTTCTAAACTTTATACTCATAATGAGGTGGGAGGGGGTAGCAAAGAATGGAAACCAGATAGAGTGCCTGAATATTTATACTGTGGCCCTGTCTTTGGCCTTGCCCTTAACTACATAGGCCCTAAGCAAGTAGCTGGCACTGCCTGTACAGGATAGATATTAATGCCACCTGGATGGTACCTTGTCGGTATCTGATCCGCCTTTCCATGTCTACTGCGAGAGACCTAGCTCAGGTTTTTACCTCTGCCTGAGTGATAGTGCTTTCTAGTTGTCCCTCTCTCACATTCTTTGTTTCCCTCTCTCAGTTAGCCAGTCAACATGTATTGAGCTGAAGCTAGCTGGACCTCAGTCATGAGTCCAGGGGACTGTGCATTGTGTTTCTGTATAGGACACTGGTAGCAGAGAGGAGGAGTTTATGTCTGACTGAAGGCTTTGGGAACTGAGTTTGGTATACCTGGGGTCTGGCCTCCTTATCTACAGCATCCACCCTAACTGTACTGTGGTCAGCTCACTTCCCTGTGCATAACCATTTAACTCCCAAATGTTACCTGCACTCAGTTCACTAGGTTGGAACCCCTGGGTCTCTGTGCTGATAAGTTTCCACAGGTGCTTCAGCTATACAGCCAGGTGTGGGATCATTTGTCCCTCAAAGCCTTACCAGCTGGTATTTAAGACCTTGCATCACCTGGCTTTGCAACCTAACTAGCCACCCTCCTCCACCTTTTCTATCAGTCTATTATGCCTAAAAGTTTATCTATCTTTCTTGAAAGCCTTCAGGGCCCAGTTCAAACACTGCCCTTTCTAACCTTCTACCCTAACTCCACCAACAAAAGGATTGAATTCCCTTTTAGGGGAAGTTACCTGGGGCCAGGGGACATATTTCAGTAGCAGAAGACTTGCCTAGCATGCATCTTCATTCTGTATCTTTCCAGCTCCCAGGACTTTGGGGCTCAACAAATATGTCTTGGATCAGGTTAGCCTTTCTGTATTATACTAAAGACATTGTTAGCCAAGAACTTGTTATACCTAAGTATGTTTGCAGTAGTTATCACTGGTTCTTACTTAGCAGTGTATAAACCACATCTCTGGAATTTCAGGTAGTTTCTTGAAACAAGTCTGTTCTTACCCCCTCCAGACATATCATCTCAGAATTGGAGCATCTTGTCTTTGTCAACACAGATGTGGGCCGCTGCCGGGCCTGGTTGCGACTGGCCCTCAACGATGGTCTGATGGAGTGCTACCTGAAACTGCTCCTGCAGGAGCAGGCCCGACTGTGCGAGTACTATCAGCCCACAGCCCTGCTGCGAGATGCTGAGGAGGGCGAGTTCCTCCTTAGCTTCCTTCAGGGACTGACATCCTTATCTTTTGAACTCTCTTACAAGTCTGCCATCTTAAATGAATGGACACTCACCCCACTGTCTCTTTCTGGGCTTTGCCCCCTATCTGAGATTGACCCACTCACTACCTCTGGTGCAGAACTACAGCGGAAGGAGTCTCTGGATTCAATTTCCCATTCCTCAGGCTCTGAGGACATCAAAGTCCAACACTCGGGCCATAAGATCCACAGGAACAGGAAGCTCACTGCCTCTTCCCTCAGCCTGGACACGGCCAGTTCATCTCAGCTATCCTGTAGTCTAAACTCTGATAGCTGCCTGCTCCAGGAAGATGGCTCTAAGAGTCCAGACCATTCTGAGGAACCCACGTCCTATGACTCAGACTTGGGTACAGCAAATGCTGATGACTCGGATCAGTCTCTGCAAGAGTGAGTGTCCTCCTCCAACCCTTTCCGCCCCTCCCTCCCTCCCTCCCTCTCTTTTCCTATCACATGTGATTGGTAGGCTATAAAGAAGTCAAAGGAGAAGAGTTCCCACTGTAGCAAAGGAAATAACACAATGGGGAGATGGATTGCATTGTTTTTGTTTTTAGCAATGTTTCCCTGCAGCCCAGGCTGGCCTGAAATTCACTGTGGAGTGATCCTCCACAGTGCTGGGATTAGAGGTGTGAGCCACCACTCACAGCTGGAGAATAATAGATTTAGGACTCAGAGCTGGACTGAGTCACTTGGTCTGTCTGAGGTCCATATAAAGTACTGTCTTTTTCATCTAGAGGGAAGGAACTAATAGTTCTGAGTACATGTACAACTTCCAGCAAATACAGTGAAATAGAGTGTGTGGATGTGACCTCACAAAAGACTTTGTGGGGTACACAAAACCTGAGACAAATGGGGACAAGTGAATGTGGGCGAGAGACTCAATTTATTTAACCAGAGAGGAGAGCTCCCCACCTCGCCCCCATGCTAGGTAAGCGCCCTACCACAGAGCTGCATTGCTAGCCCTGGCAGAACCTTCTTCACACAGCTTTTTTTTTTTTTTTTTTTAAATCCCCAGTGCTGGGGATCAAACCCAAGCCTTTATTTGAACTAGACAACTTCTCTAATTACTGAATTGCATCCCTAGGCCCCTTTTGGGTCTGTCTGCTTGCTTGCTTATTTATTTTTGTGAGTCAGGGTCTCATAATATAGCCCAAGCCGGCCTCAATCTCACAGCAGTCCTCCTGTCTCAGTCACCAAGTGCTGGGCTTGCAGGGGTAAGCTACCATGCATGGCTCTAACAGTCTTTTTAAACATTATTTGATGGGCTTAAACGTTATTTGATGGTGTTTGTGAGGTCTCAGACTTCCCTGGGATGGTCTTGAATTCATTATGTAACAAAGTCTGGCCTTGAACTGCCATCCTCCTGCAGTGCTGGAATTAAATAGGTAAGTACCATTCTCACCTTTAAACATTAAAGTTTGAATTGGCTTTTTGTGGGTAAAAAACAATCTAAAGTGCAGTACAGCAAAATCTTTCACATACCTGCTTCCCTATCTACCTTGTTCTTTCCCATTCTTAAGACCATAATCTTTTTTGACACAGGGTCTCCCTGTAGCTCCAGCTGGCCTGGAACTCTCTATGTAAACCAGGCCGACCTTGATCTCTCAGAAATCTACTACCATGCCTGACCTTACCATAATTATTCATTTCTCTTTTTTTGGAGATAGCGTCTTTTGTAGCCCAGGGTGCCCTCAAACTTGCTGTGGAGCTGAGGCTGGCCTTGAACATTTGAGCCTCTGGCCTCCACCTCCTGAGTGTATATTCTTCCAAAGTTCCTAAATGAATCTGTAACAGACACAAGCATTTTTTTAAGCTTTTTTTTTTTTTTTTTCTATTTCTTACCCCTTTCCACAAAAGGTAGTACATGTGCCTTGCTGTACACCTGGAGTGTCAGAGCGTCTTCATTCTCTTCTGTTGTATCCTGTTGCATGTGTCAATCAGGTTATTTAGTCAGCCCTGTATTCATGGAAATTGGAGTTCAGTGCAGACTCTCCAGTGGTCTTTCAGTTTTATGTAGGTATGTTTATGTTTTATGTAAGTAAGCTCCTAGAAGCACAAGGGCTGAACCAAGGAAGGATTACTTTGCAGATTTCACAAATGTTGCCTGTTTATACCCTACTAGTAATGTCCCCATCCTCTGTGCCTTGCCAGTGGAAGATGCTGTCAAAGTTTTAGATATTTGCTCATCTTAAGAGGTGACAGTAGTGATCTTTTGAGAGCCTCCTTCAGTTAAGCCTGTGTTCCATCAACCCATGTCTAGGTCCTTTTTACTATTAGTTAGTGCTCACCTTCCAGCTTTGGTCCAGTTCTTTCCAGGTTGCCATCTGGCACAGGATAATGCCAGAGTCAGTGATGTATGGACAAGGTTCAGAGAAAACCTAGTTTCCAGACCTCTTCTACCATTTACAAGTCCAGAACTGTCAGACAAATCACTGGCTCTTTCCGAAACTGTTTCTTCATCTTTATAATGGAGATTCCAGAGCTGGAGAGGTGGCTCGGTGGCTAAGAGCACTGGCTGCTCTTACAGAGGACCCAGGCTCAATTTCCAGCATCCACATGGCAGGTAACAACTGTCCATAAGTCCAGTTCCGGGGGATCTGACACCCTCTTCTGACCTCCGTGGGCATTGCATGACATGGATGCACTTATGTACTTGCAGGCAATATGCTCCTATACATAAAATTTTAAAAAATAAAATAAAATAAAATGGAGATTCCCTCATAGAGTTGTTTGAGAATGTGTGTAGTAAACTGCTCATGTTGAGAATGTAGGCTCCAGAGATGGAGCACTGAGCCCATGAGATGGCAATTTCAGATGCCACATGAGGAGTTTCGACAGAGCACATTGGGAGGAACCCCAAGGAGCCATCTCTGCCTTGAGCCATGATGAGTCCTATGGTGTGACTTAGACTAGTTCACCTCTCCCAGACCTTCTCTTTGTCATGTGCCTTGCCTTTATCACGCATGAGTCTTATGACTGGAAAGTTCCAGCACAAGATCATTGAATCAGTAACTATTTACCATTGCCCTGGTTCTCATGGGGAAACTCAGGGATTGAGGGTCAGTGTATATAGACAAACACCAGACAATAATGGGAGTAACTGGAAGCATTGAGCGCCAGTTGCATGAATGCACGTCCCCGAACCCGCGTTCTTAGAGCTGGGCCTTAAGTTGCTCTTTCTGTTTTCTTTTTTGCTCTTGTTTTTGTTTGTTTCTTAAAGTATTTATTTATTTTTTTACTTTATGTGTATGAACATATTACCTGCACGTATGAAAGTGCAACTGTGTTGTACAATGCCTGCACTTGTGAGAAGAAGGCGTCGGATCCCCTGGAACTGGAGTTACTGACAGTTAGCTGCCATGTGGGTGCTGGGAATTGAACCCGGGTTCTTGGGAAGAGCAGCCAGTGCTCTTAACTGCTGAGCCATCTCTCCAGAACCATTTTTATTTGTTTTTTTATGGAGTTTTTTGGGGGCTTTTGTTTGCTTGTTTTGATATGGGGGAGAGGGCCTGTACCAAGGCACACATGTGGAGGTCATAGGACAACTTTCAGGAGTTGGTTCTCTTCTTTCTCCATGTGGATTCAGGAAATCAAACTCAGGTCCTCAGGCAAGTGCCTTTCTTTACTTGCTAAGCCCTATGTATTTCCTTTTTGAAACAGGGTCTCACCATTTAGCCCAGACTGGCCTTGAACTCTTGATCCTTCTGTCTCAGCCTCCCAAATGCTGGGATTACAGAAAAGCACCAGCACCTCTGGCTTGAAATTAGTTAAAGCAGCTCCAGAGATCAGCTTTTCTTTTTTCTTTTTTTTTTTTTTAATTTTATTTTATTATTTTTATTTTATGTGTATGAGTATATTGCCTGCATGTATGTGAGTGCACCCGAGTCGTCCAATGCTGTGGAGGTCAGAAGAGAGCTTTGGATTCCCCTGGAGCTGGAGTTAAGGACAGTTTGTAGCTGCCATGTGGGTGCTGGGAATTGAACCCGGGTCCTCTGCAAGAGCAGTCAGTACTCTTAATCGCTGAGCCATCTCTCCAGCCCCGAGATCAGCATTTCTGAATGTGATCCCCACCAGCACTTTGGGTCAGTTATTATTCTTTAATAATACTTAAATATGTGTAACTTTAAATTGATATAAATGCCTTGTCCTTAGTGTTTCAATTATTAAATCAAAACATCTGCAAATTAAACATAAAGTACAAAACACAACATCAAAATGAAATTTGTCCATTTACTATAGAGGGTTCTGTCTTGCAGAAGGTAAATTGCAGCTTGCCTTGTGGACAGAAGGTTGACTATTCTTTGGGTCTATATTGTAATTATCACTGAGGATTGGGCACTGGGGAGCCAGACTGCCTGGGTTGTCTATTTACCAGCCTTCTACCTCGGCAAGTACTCCTCCTTCCTGACCTTGATGTCCTTATCTGTAAAATGAAGATAAGAACTCTTCAAAGGAAAGAGGATTAAAGGAGAAATCAGGATCTTTAAGGTACTCATCCCAGTCCCTGAGGACATCCTGAGTGTTGAATAGGTGATTTTATTGTTTGATTACTATGGAGTGCCTGTGATGTCTGTTCTCCAATTACTTGTCTTTACATAGACTACTGCAGAACTTTTGTTGTTAGTGTTTGTCAGGTGTCTTTGTTGGGAAGCTTTCCCTGTGGGAAATGACTCTCAGCTTTGGCAGCCCACCACTGTGCGTTCTTCAGTGGCCCTTACCGGCCAGTAAAACAGAACCATATTCAACAGCACAAGGGTCCGCAATGGCCAAGGAAGCCTGAACTCTGCCCCACTTGGCAGGACTCTGTGTGTGTGTGTGTGTGTGTGTGTGTGTGTGTGTGTGTGTGTGTGTACAAAAGGCTGGGGACATCCCTTGGTTAAGTGTTTGCCTTAACTGAGTTAGAGCTCCAGAACCCACTTTCAGAAGAAAGATGGGCATAGTGGTGCATGCTTGCAATCCCAGCACTGCGGAGGTGGAGATGGGTGGACCCCTGGGGCTCACTGGCCAGCAGTGTAGCTACTCAGTAAGCTGCCTTGTCCACCCCTGGAAATTATACTCTTTGATTTTCATTGATTTTTTTTTTTTTTTT